GTGGGGGAGGGGGAGGGGGGAGGGGGAAGGGAAAGGAAAGGAAACAAAACAAAACAAACAAAACAAAAAACCTCCCAAACTCTCGCATATACTTTAGAATCATATGAAATGATTCCTATCTCAGAATATAATTATTTTTCTTTCTTTTGTAGAGCTGGAAATTGAGTCCAGAGACTTGTGAATGTAGGCAAGGTTCTATCCCTGAGCTGACTCTAAGGTTTCTTAAAGGTTTTGTTTGTTTGAGACAGTCTTACTGAGCCCAGGCTGACCTCCAGAATTCATAATCCTCCTGTTGAGGATCAGCCTCTGGATAACTGGGATTACAAGCATGCACCAACAGGACAAGGATAGCCTTGAACTTTGGAGTCTCCTGCCTCTCCTCCCAAGTGCTAGAATTACAGGCCTGTACCACCATACCTGCTTTATTAGGTGCTGAGAATTGAACCCATGGTTTACTGAATCCTAGGCAAGCACTCTACTGAGCTACATCCCCAGCTACCTCTCTCACTTGAAGTCAGAACCTAGAATCACCTTTATTGCCCCATTAGCAATATTAATATAAAGAACATCACCTACACTAGTAACTAAAGAACTAATACGTATAACTGATGAGTAGACTATAAAACAAGAATTTTAGCTTGCATAAGCTCTAATCTAGAAAACCATATAAAACATCTCCAAAAACCAAACTGATAGCAGCTAAATTCCACCCTCCACAGCTTGCATCAATCAACATTCACGTTTGTTAAGGAAAAATACAGCCACTTAACACTTTTGAAAGTCATTAGATTGTCTACTATCAAGGAGAGCTATAGAACATATTTGTGAATAACATCCCAAATAGTAAATATATTCAAAGCTCAGAAAGTAAACAGCTACATTTTTTCCTATCAGTTTAGTGATTAATATAATTCAGATGCAAGAATTATTGCTCAGAAAAGCAAGAAACATGACTCTTTTTTCTTGTAGAGTTAAGTGATGACTATGCTTGTTCCTTGATAGAATAACTTTTTGCTTTTCAATTGGATGGTATTTCCTCAGCCATGACAATGATAGTAGATGTTAGCCTGTTAAGTAACTTAAGAACCAGTCTAACACCACTTCTTCCATGGCTTCCACCTTTGCCAAAAAGAAGCTTGTTTATTTAAGCCACATTTAACAGAGACAAGCCAAATTCAAAGTGGACTGACCAATGACATGGCCACCTCTGAATAGAGGCCTTTGCCATACACCTAGCAAAGCTTTACCCTTCTAGGATGACTAGATGTTTGGGGCAGTTCTAGATGAACTGATGCCCTATGATACCTTTTAAAAAATTATGAGTAGTATATCAGAAAACCAGGAATGGTGACATACACCTGAAAGCCTAGCACTTGAGGTGAGGTGAGGGTGGCTGAGCAGGCAAATGGCTGTGAGTCTGAGACCAGCCAGGGGGAACACAGTAAATACCAGATGATTCTCTTAACCAAAGGAGTCAGGTTCCTGAACCTTTGCTTGGGTCATCTGTGCACTTCTTTGTACAGCGCAGTTTTCTAAGAACCTCTCACCTCTGGTATCTGGCCCTGTTCCTCACCTTCTACCATCGCTCAGATGATAGCAGATCAAGCTGGCCTTTCATCAGCAAAAATCCCCACTGCTGCTACATTTCCTCTTATTAATCTTTCATCCACTGACTCCAACTTTGCTCCTTAGCTATGAATTCTCAATTGTCCATGCTGTTTTTGGAGTTAAATCCATTCTCCTTTTGTCACTGTAAAATCTCACCCACAGTAATGGTCTCTATGCCCATAGCACTGAATAAAGTCTGCTTTACTGTACTTTTAAAAATGTCACAGAGCTGGAGAGATGGATCAGCAGTTAAGAGCACTGACTGCTCTTGCAGAGGACCCAGGTTCAAATCCCAGCATCCATATGGCAGCTGATAACTGTCCATAACTCCAGTTCCAGGGGATCTTTCTGTCCTTTGCGGCCACTGCACGACACAGGTGCACTTACATACATGCAGGCAATATATTCATACACATAAAATAAAAATAAATAAGTAAAATAAATAAATCTAAAAATGTCACAGAATGGGGCTGAAGGTTAAAGAGACCTGCTGCTCTTGTGGAGAAGCAGAGTTCAATTCCCAGCACCTACATAGTGGGTATCAACCGTCCCTAACTCCAGTTCCAGGGGCTCCAACGCCTTCTTCTGACCTCCATGGGCATTGCGCACAGGTGCACTTACATACATACAGGCAATAAACTCATACACATAAAATAAAAACAATAAATATTTTTTTAAATGTCACAGAATATTTTTTTTCACTAGGGGATATCACTGGTTACCTTGGTGGCTTTTTGAAAATGGAAAAGGGGGCCCTGGTTGGGGTACAGCTTAGTGGCAGAGTACATGTTAACCATGCACAAAATCTGGGGTTCAATCCCTAGCACTCCAGCTCCAAAACTGGCACACTCCTGATTCCAAGACAATAAAATGAATGCAAGGCTTCACTTGGAACTTACAGCCTCCATAACTACACACAGCAGCACCAGGTTCAATTTCATTCCTTTACTTCTCTGGCCACCATCCCTTGAAAGCAATATACCCTGATGTTACTAATTCCAGTGCCAGATGTTACTAATTCCACAGGAAGTACACACAAAATCTTAAACTTTTCAGCTACTCATAAGCCTCAGTCACTGCCAAAGTGGAGAAACTGGAAGGAGGTAACATTTTTTTTAATATAAAAAAGATGATTACAACATGTACCTGGTTATTTTTCTAAATCCTAACAGTCTGGATAATTTGAGAAGGTGTGATAATGATCCTTAAGAGCTAGACACAAAACTGTTTTGTGTAGAAACATCAAAATTCACCAGCACCTCCTTTCCTTAACTACACCAGTGAAGATTTAAAGCATTAGGATAAGCACTTTAGAAATTAGATTCAAGTACTTTTTCACTCTAGAAGAGCTAGGTAGCAGGCCTGGGAGTAGCTCAGTGGAAGAGCACTATCCCAGATTTCATAAGGCCCTGAGTTTGAAAAGTAAAGACAAAAGGATGGGGTGGGGGGCTGGGTAACTAAAATAGAGGGGTGGGGAGACAGAGTATGAAATATCAGGCAAGCTACAGATGCTACTGCTATCAACTACATATACTTCACTACTTCTAATAAACCAAAAGCACTTGGGAGGCAGAGGCAGGGAGAACTCTGTGTTCAAGGCCAGCCAGGGCTACATAGTGAGACCCTGTCTCAAAAAACCAAACAAAAAACCTAGTAAAGATTCTGTATGCAAAACTGAACCACCTATGCTCTTGTCTCTGGTTAGATTAAATAATTGTTCAAGTTGGAATTCAGTAGTAGAATGGGCCTCTAAATAATAAAGCATATATTATTCTTAAAGATTTTTATTACTTTTAATTCTGTCTGTGTGTGGTTATGTACACAAGAGTGCAGGCGCTTGCAGGCCAGAGGTAGCAGATACCATGAAGCTGGGGTTATAGGAAGTTGTGAACCACGTGATATAGGTAATGGGAACTGAACTCAGGTCCTTTACAAGAGCAGTACACATTCTTAGCCACTGAGCCATCTCTTTAGCCCAATAACATTATTCGTAACAATTTCCCCAAAGCCTATAAATAGGAACCAGAACGACTCTTTACGGTATTAACATACTAGCTCTGTCATCTCTGATCACTTGGGGAACATCTAAGCAAAAATCAATGCAAATTAGATCAAGTATGAACATCTGAGGCACTGAAGCGCAAAAGAGACGGCCTTGTCCATAAAGTCAGGCTTTGTATCTAGAGAGCCAGAGAAAAGTATGTGACTTAATTGCCAGCTGTCCCAAGCAGCATGCTTGGCCTTGAGGTATTACTTAACCACTATGACACAGTGAATTACAAAGACCACATGGAAATACAGACAGACAGGGAGCTCTGTAAGTAAAAACTACTTCGTATTATGCCAAAGTGAAGCAGCTGCTAAGGTCAAAGGCCTACGATAAATATGCATAAAGGAACAGGAAACGATAAAGTAAAAGTAAGGGGTTGCGGGGGGAGTCCCCCAACTCAACAATTTGGTTTTGGTTCTGCCTTGTTTGCTTTTCTTGAGACGAGGTCTTGTTATATAGCCCATGATGGCCTCAAACTCATGATTATTCTGCCTCTGCTGCCCTAGCACTGGGATCACAGAAGTGTGCCATCATGCTTGGCTGACTTTGTTTTTAAAATGAAAACATGTTTCCCAGTGAAATGACCTCTCTTTTTGTACATGTACATGCCAGGTTATGTAAAATCATCGGTATAAAACTGTGTGAAACATAATTGAAACCAAATGTTTACATCAAGCTTCCAATTCTCTTCAATAACATTAATATATAATCTCATAATATATTCTAAGTATTCTAATATATTTCATTTTTAGAAAATAAAAAACTACAGATTCTCTGGTTTCCTAGGCAACCAAAAGAATTCTGAAAGCGACTAATATGCCCAAGGGCATACTATATTCTAAAGATATACGATAGAGCTCATAGTCAAAGTTTCAAACAAGCATTTTAAAATTTCTACACAATCACTTGGTGCAAGAGCTCAAGTACCACCTTTAATCCCAGCACTCAGGAGGCAGAAGCAAGAGGATCTTTGTGAATTTCAGGCCAGCCTGGTCTACATAGGAAGTTCCAAGTCAGCCAGGGGCACCATAGTGAGCCCTGTCTCAACAAACAAACAAAACCAAAAAACAAAACAAAAGTCTGACTTTGTTATTTAGCAGCATTTAGCAGCAGGTTACTTTTGCCAGCAAGATAACTTTCTTCATTTAAACTAAATAGAAGAAAAAAGAGAAACTGCTGTTAGGGATGTTACAAGGCTAAAAATAAATAATCTGTGCAACACAGTTAGATAATGTGTTACAAGGTACACAGAGAACACTCACTAGAAGGGCATTTATTTAAAGGGATTTGGTAATTTAAATAATCACACGAACTCATTAAGATCCACAAGTCCTTGGAAGGTTAGAAGCAAAGACCTAAAATAGAATGATATAGAGAAGGAATGCCAAACCAAGCCAGGAAAGACAGCAGCAAGACAAAGGAGCTCTTACTAATGAACTTCATTCAGAAGCCTTATATGAATGAAGCCACTCCAAAATGAAGGCAGTACCTATGTCACCAGGAGCTAGAAGAGGATTCCTTAGAACTACAAAGTAACTGATAATTACAAAGTTCACCAGACTCAAATGACAGAACAGACTCAGAAGAACAGAATGAAACTTTTAAGATGAGAAAAACATGGGGACTGAGAAAACCTATTCATTTTATAATGCATTTAGAAAAACAAATGATACATTCTATTTACTATCATATATCTGTATATCCAGGTGGCCTTACCTCTAGGTTTGATAGGTTTTATTGTCAACTTGACACAACCTGGAGTCATGTGGGAAATGGGAAAACCTTAATTAATGAATTTTCCAGATCAGATTGGCCTATGGCCATATTTATGAAACTGTCTTCACTGATGATTGGTGTAGAAGGAAGGGCCCAGCCCACTGTTGGTAGCACCTTCCCCAGGCAGGTGGACCTGAGCTATATAAGAAAACTATCTGAGCATGATCCAGAGAGTGCACCAATAAGCAGTATTCCTGTATGGCTCCTACCTCCAGGTTCTTGCCTTGAGTTCCTGCCCTAACTTCCCTCAATGATGGATTTTGATCTGGAAGTGTAAGATAAATATACCATACCTGCCCCAGTTGCTTTTGCTCAGTGTTTTATCACAACCACAGAATGAAACTAGAACAGTCTATCCAATTGCTGTCTGGCATGGTGGCCCACACCAATAATCCTGGCAGTTGGGAGGTTGAGGCAGTAGAATTATTAGGATTTTGAGGCCAGACTAGGCTAGAGTGGAACCCTGTTTCAAAAGCGGGGGGAGGGAGATGGAGAGAAGGAGAGGAGGAGGGACAGAAAGAGAGAGAGGAAGGGAGGGAGAGGAAAAAGAGGGAAGGAGGGAGGGAAAGAAGGAGATAGAATCAACTTTTCAAAGGAAGGTGTGTCCTTAAGTGAAAGAATTAGTGGACAACAGATGGTGGTATACACATGGACACAATTTGGGATATTTGGGAGGTTGAAGGGAGGAGATTACAAGTTTGAAGCAGCTTTGGCTACCTGGTGAAACCCTATCTCAAAAACAAATACTAAAAAAAAAGAAGAAAAAAAAAACCCCAGCAAAGCTGATTCATTACTAATGCTGTTTAACTACTACTAACCAGTCTATTTCTGTCTAAAAGTCTCCAAAGTCTCTGATTTTCTTTTCCTCCTTTTAAAAGATTTTTATTTCATATTTGAGCATTTATAAGGTACACTCATAGGTACTTACTGAATCCATCTACCATTAGAAAACAAATAAGATAAGCACCAAACTCCCACCCTATGTCATTTTATTTAATTATATCAGGCATCTAAATTATAGTGAGAGTATTCAGGTCACAGCAAGGATTGCATAAGTTCATTTTTAAAAAGTCATTTATTTGAAGCCCAACCAATTTGCTTGGGTGATAAAATGTTATCTTTTGTTTTGCTTTATTTGTGGTTTTAATCCTTCTGCCTCAGCAGAATTGTATAATCATTGAAAAATTAATTACAAAGAAGAATTTACTAATATATTCAAGAGTTAATGTGAGAAACTATTCACGGGAAAATATTTTCTCAAAACAAAATAGCAACATGAAGGGATTAAAAAAAAAATCCCAAAGCCAGAAATTTTTCACTTAGGAATTATGCTTCTATTTTCCCATTGGACCAAGTAAAAAGCACAGGGAATCATGAATCTCCCCATAAGCACAACCCATTTTTCGTGCTCATGTATTTATTAAAAGGAAAATAATCATTCTCTGTAGGGACATAATGGGTATTCATTTTGTGAACCTTCAACTTTTTGTCAGCTGTCTCATTTGCGATGGTAATAATTACCATCAATGGTAAATTTCACTTCCATTTCTTTTTCTCTTCCTTGTTTGACTTTACTTTTTTCTTTTGTTAAGTCTTTACTATCTTGCCAAAATATAACTGGAGCAAAGACTGAAAGCACTTTAACTGCTGGTACTACTGAATCTTGTAAAAACTTGCAAGTACAAAAGAGTGAATGAGAAGAACAAATCAGATACATATACTTGTTCCCAACAGGTCTGTTCCAGTTGACAGTTAAAAAAAAAAGTTGTAAAACTGTGAATCACAAGTGTCTGTTTCTTGTGCTATTCAGATCAAAGAACAAATGCCCAAGAAGCTACAGTATCACTTTAAAAGTCTTCACTGTGAGGGCTGGGGATGTAGTTTGGCGGTAAAGCATGTGAGAGGCCCTCAGCTTGACCACCACCCCCCCCCCAAATAAAAAGAAGAAAAGAAGGAAGCAAAGAAACAGATCAAAGGTGCTGAAGACATATTTTCAGAAATCATCTAGGCATATCTGGAGGCACAGACATACAGACACAATGAAAACTAAATATTTAAAAAATATAAGCTGGGCATGGTGGTACATGCCTTTAATCTTTAATCTCAAGTATTAGAAAGTGCATGCATATAATTCATTTAAATTAGTTATACTAAGAAACTTTGGGGTAGGACAAGAACAAAAGAGGACTTTTTTTTTGTGTGTGTGTGTGTCTTTTTTGAGACAGGGTCTCCTTGTAGCCCCAGCTGTCCTGGAACTCACTATATAGACCAGGGTGGCCTCGAACTCACAGAGATCCGCCTGCCTCTGCCTCCCAAGTGCTGGGATTAAAGGCGTGCGCCACCATGCCCGGCTAAGAGGACACGCTTAGACTTGAGCAAAATAGTACCAGATACTTACAATATGCAAAAGTTTTAACACATCCACAAATCTGTAAAACAAAGCAAACAAAAAATGTTTAAAATGAGCTGATTGGGAAAATAAAACAAAAAACCAAAACAACATCTTCTGAACTATGAAGCTGATACCTACACTTTCTCTGAGCTCATGATCTCCTTGGCAATAAGATGAACTTTACTTTTCATTCCAGTATCTTCATCCTGTAGAAAAGAGAGCATTGAGAAAGCAGGAACTCACAGAAGGACAGTGGAGCCACACTATGAGTATGGCAGTTCTGATCCTCAGTCTCCTACCAGTACACGTCCAGAGGACACAACACCTCAAGGGCAAATGCAGAAAATGAGATGAGATGACAAGCCACGACACAGAAGTAGCTGAGGGCAATCAGGAATGGGATTGGTGGACAGTTTTCATTTTTTCATCCACTTCTTAGTCTGAACATTAACCCTAATCAGGGACAAAAACTGTACATGTCTGGGGGAAAAAATGAAGATAACTTGGCAAAAGCTTTCAGCATTTAGGTGGGTTTGTTGTTTCCAAGGGAGCAAACAAAAGGAGTTTCCTTTTCTATTCTCTGAAAGATCTGAAAACACGATTCCTCAGTGAAGAAGAAAATGCAGTAAACATGGAAAAAGTAATTAAAACATTTTAAGATATTTCATTGAAGGGCTGGAGAGATGGCTCAGTGGTTAAGAGCACTGACTGCTCTTGCAAAGGACCCAGGTTCTAGTCCCAGCATCCACATGGGGGCTACAAACCATCCTTAACTCCAGTTCCAGGGGAATCCAAAGCCCTCTTCTGACCTTCACAGCATTGCACAACATGGGTGCACTTACATACATGTACACAATATACTTGTGCACATAAAATGAAAATATTTTTTTAAAGTTGTTTAAAAAAAAGATATTTCATTGAAGATGAAAATTACAGTTGCTATCAGATTGAGGAGAGTGCTTGCTCAGCATAGAGGGCCTTGGGTTTAATCCCCAGCATGGCATGGTACAACACAACACATACACACAATAGTAAAACTAATTAATTAAAATTAAAAAGAAATTTCTGCTACCATTAAGCAGAAAATGCTCTGATACTTTTGTAAAATAAACATCAGACTCAGTTTTATAGAGGTTTTTTTTGCATCCTTGCCAGATTGGCAGCACCAGAACAGAGCTATTTTGTGCTGCTCCAGACACAACTGGGCAAGGAAATGCATAAAAACTCAGCATGGCAATCCAATAGTTATTCATTAATGAAATGCCACAGGAAACAACAAATAATGGTAGTAAGGTCTCTAAGAAGCACTCCCTCCCTCCCTCCCTCCTTGCCTCCTTCCTTTTGGGCCTTGGACAAGCTAAGTAAATGCTCCACCAATGAACTTTTTCACCTGGCTCCAGAATTTGGTCAGAATCAAGATATAAAATAAATGCAGTTTAACAATGAATGAACGTTCCTTAAAATTCCTGAAAATTATATTTTAATACTATTTAAAACATGCTTGTTTGTTGATTATATACCTTAAAGTCCTTTTATTTATTTAACTAAGCATAGGTGATGTCCAAGCGAACAAACCAGGTAATGGTTCCCGAACTTTGGCTTTGATAAGTTTTGTTTCATTTTTAAAATATTTTTTATTGAGCCTTTGTACATTTCATACAACAGGTCTTAATCAAATTTAGACACTCTCCCCCACATACATCCCGCCCTCCCCCGGAACTCATGTATTTTCGCATACATGTTAGGTTTCATCAGGTCAAGCATTTGTACCCATATGTCCTTTGGTGTAAGTTCATCCACTGGAGTCTAGTCAGATCATCTAGAGATCTTAAGGAAGGTTTACTTTCCCTCAATCAGCAGTAATCAGTTTTCCAACAATTCCCAGGTTAGGGCTGGCCTGCCGCCCATTTCCCTTACTCCACTTTGGGCTCTTGTCTGACTGAGCTGGCATGGGTCTTGTGCTCGACACCACCATTGCCGCAAGTTCACATGAGAAAGCTGCCAAAGGCCTGAAAGCCTCTGTTTCCCTATGTTCATGGACCAACTCTGGCTGTTAAATCTTTCTGACCCCTCTTCTGCAGTGGACCCTGAGCCATGGGTGGGTGAAGTTTAATATAGGAGTCTATCCAAGGACACATACTCTGCAGTTGTTTCATTTTGGAGACAGTGTCTGGCTCTTGTGGCCCAGGCAGGCCTCAACCCACAATCCTCCTGCCTCAGACTCCTGAGTCCTGAGATTACAGGCATGAACAACCATACCTAGCACGGAAGTTTCTTTAGTATATTTAGATTTAGAACTTTGTTTTTTTGTTTTCTGCTTTGCTGAGGACTGAACTTGGAGGCCTTGCACCTGCTAGAAATGCTGTACCAGGCAGGGAGTTAAATACCCAGCCTTCTGAATCTGGAATTTATTATTAGCATAGTCACTTCTGTGTTCATGGGAGTCAGAGATATAGGGGAGATCTTTATTTTGGATTTATTTTTTAAATTACTTTAGCGAACCATTAGATCTTAAATAGGAGACCAAGTCAGAAGAGTGAAAAAGTTCAAACAGCAAATATATAAAGTAAGTACTGGCCTAGAGCAGATCCACTGGCAATAGGATTTAAGGTTGCTTATTAGAAGAATTCAGGGGATGGGTAGTTCAATAGAAGGATGCTTGCCTGGTATGCACCATGCTAGGCATGGATTCAGTTCCCAGCAATGCACCAAAAAGGGGGAAGAATTAGAAAGAAAACCAAGATTTCCCAATACCTAACCTAACAATTATTGTATTCAGGACTTGGAGAGATGGCTCGGTTGGTAAAGTGCTTGCTGTGTAAGCCAGAGGACCTGAATTTAGATCCCCAGAACCCATATAATAAAGCTAGATGTGGCATTGTGCACCTATGACCTGATATGACCTGAGTGCTATGGAGGTGGAAACAGGATCATCCCTGGGGTTTGCTGGGTGACCTGTCCCACTGAAATGGTGAGCTCCAGGTTCAGGGAAAGACTGTCTCAAAAATTAAGGTGGAGAGAAACTGAGGAAGGTATCTGATGTCAACCTCTGGCCTACACACACACACACACACACACACACACACACACACACACACACAAATGAATAAATAAAAATTTAAAATTATTGCCAGGCATGGTGGCGCATGCCTTTAATCCCAGCACTTGGGACGCAGAGGCAGTCGGATCTTTGTGATTTCAAGGCCAGCCTGGTCTACATAATGAGTTCCAAGACAGGTGTTGGGGCTACAGGGAGACCCTGTCTCAAAAAGACAAAAAAAAAAAATTTAAATTATTGTTACTAAATCATGTTTCAACTTGTGGTAGTAAAGGTATGTCCTCTTGACAGTCACTGCTAAACATACACCCAATATAACTATTTTCCTACCAAGATTTGACAAATCCAAACATTCTGTAATATTTGCATATTATTTTGTGAAGCAATTTGTTAAATATATAAAATTCTCTTCTTTATTCTCCAGAAATGTTCACTATTTAAAAATAAATAAATCAGGGTCTCATGTAGCTCAGGCTGGACTCAAATTGCTATATATAGCAGAGAAGCAGAGACTGGCCTCAAATTCCTGATTCTTGGGGCTGGAGAGATGGCTCAGTGTTTAAGAGCACTGGCTGCTCTTGTAGAGGACCCAGGTTCAGATTCTAGGACCCACATGGCAGCTAACAACCATCCTTAACTCCAGTTCCAGGGGATCTGACACCCTCTTCTGGCCTCCATAGGCACTGCATGACATGATACACTTAAATACACGCAGCCTAGAAAACTCATACATATAAAATAAAAACTTAAATTAAAAAACAATTCCTGGCTGTCTCTCTAATCCCAGAGGCAGCCCAGTGGTTTGATTGCCCCCCCCCAATAAACTACTGTCCCCCATGCAGTTGTCTTGGTCGGTGGTCTTTGCTGCATGCTTCCATACATTATGGATGGCTGTTAGCTGCCATGTGGGTGTTGGGATTTGAACCCGAGTCTTCTGCAAGAGTAGCCAGTGCTCTTAGCCACTGAGCCATCTCTCCAGTCCCCTAACAAAGATTTAACCATATACTTGATTTGCCTTTAAAAACACTGGGGGAAAGATTTGGGTTTCTATGACTTGCCCATCTCACTGGTAATGCCTTACAAAGTGTTGTAGATCTGGGAACTGAGTAATCTGAACTGAGAAGGAACTTTGAGTCATAAAGATATACTTCCTGATATGTACCCTCATTTAGCAACTTTCTTTATCAAAAAATAAAGATATATTAAAATACTCATCATAAGAAAAATTTTTAAAAATTCCTGATCTTACCTTTTGTCCTTAAATACTGGAATTACAGGTGTGTGTCATCACACCTGCCTATGACCACCAATACCACAACTTTCCTGTATTTATCCCTTTCATGTTTTCTTACTTTATTGCCAAAGAGTCTGTATGCAATAGCCTTCCCACCAATATAAAGACAGTTCTGCCAAAAGTATTCAAGGAAGGCTACAACCCAACCATTTATGAAAATCTTTAAAAAGCAACTGATTACTAATTCGCAGTACATAAAAGTGCATTCTAATTGGCCTAGCATGTTCCACCTTGTTCCTTTTCTTTAGCTCTCAGATTCAATCGTTAAAGGGACAATTATGAAATTGACTTCTATTTCCATTCACATTCCACTTTTTTAAGGTAGGTTGTTGAGTGACTGAGACAAACAGCATGCATAATTTTTGTTCTATTTCACTCCAACCACTCACCTTTAACTATGTTTTTAACAGAAAGACAGATGCATAGCTAACATTCCCCAGGGTGCATAATCTGATCTTGCAGTCTGGGTATCAGTCATGCACTAATGAATGACTGGGACTGCATACGTGTTTACACACACACACACACACACACACACACACACACACAGGGTGGGGGAGAACTGATGTTTTGAATACTTAGCAAATCAGTGTATTTCTAATACAATGTATTTCTCTTTACTATCTTTAACTACAAAGTTTAAGCTTATGAAATATAGTATATATCTTTTAAGATCATTAAATGGCTGAGAGTAATCTCAGTGATGCATAGCATGTTTGAGACCCTGGGTTTGATTCCTAGAACTTCCCTTCCCAAAACCTACCTCCCCCTTAAAAAAAAAATCCAAGTATAATTTCTTCTTGGGATTTGTCTTTTATTTCCTTTCCTCTTCTTAAAACTTCCCTATCATTGGG